CTGTATGATAAATTTTGGCTCATTTCAAAGGAAAATAACAATATTTCGGCAAAAATTAAATTGGCTGATATTTTTAAGGTTCTACGCAGGTCGTCTTTATCTTTACGAGTCAGCTCCAGGTACGAGTTCTCTCCAAGCAGTACACCGGACCGGGCTGCCGGACGGTTAGAAAGACAGAAAGATAGACAGAGACCAATAGAGAGAGAGAGAAAATACTAATTGCAGCACTCAAACACTACTGTTTAATTATTGAGACATTTATCTAAAAGATTTTTCGTTCTATCGAAAAACTATTTTGATAGAAATAAAATTTTTTATTTTTCACGCTCTGAGCAAAATGCTCTTCTTACAGTGTGACCTCCTCATTTAATAAACCTGTCAAATGGAAATAGAATTTTACTCTTTCGTTCAGTTATGTTTTACAGAGATGAAGTGGGGGCAGCATAAATATCTTTTAAAACTTTTTTTTTTAATCTTAGTGATATAATATAGTATTAAAAGTTGGTTTGAGAAGCACTCCAGGCAGGAACTGCCCAGACAGCCAAATTGCGCAAAAAGAGCGCAAATTAAACGTCACTTTTTGCATTTCTACGTAAATTTTACGTAGAGATTTTGGTTCTTTTTACGTCATGAAAGACGTAAAATCGCACACTTAGCTACGCAAATTTATTGGTTTTAGTATACGTAAAATTTACGTAATAATATTATACAAATTTACGTCGAAAATGCGCATTATTATTTTCTTAATGTCAGCTCTCTTTCACCAAAAATTATGCTAAATCTAAGTAAATTTGATGCATGCAGATATGCCATCAATCCCTGCAGTTGGATGGATGGATGCAGTATAAGTATCTCTCTCTAACCTGATTCCATTCATCAGGGAATACAATTTAACATAGAGATTACTGCTTCTAGCTTTGTAATTAGTAAGGAGTAATAAAAGTTATTTTAATTTTTCTGATAGAAAATTCAGTGCATTTTCCTAATAAAAATGTTTTTTTTTTTTAAATTAAAAATAATTTAAAACCTAAATCTTGACTTCTAAATGATACACTTTTAGTAAAAAATGTTATCTGTACCTTTTTCTTTTTTTACATTTTACGTAAAACAAACAGAGACACCTAGCGGTAAAATTTGGTACTAAAAACCAGTGTGCTATGTAGCACTTTAAATTCTCTGCCCAATTACCCCCCCCCCTTCCCACTCTTATCTACAAATCACACGGCTTTCTATTTAATATTACATTATACATTGCTGCACTCTGCACTGCAGTGCACACACACCTAGGCCACTCAATTCTTCAATATTTAAAACCCTCAAAATATATGCGTAAAAAGAGCGCAATTTTTACGCAATTTTAATGCTAACAAAGACCATTTAAATTCTTTTAAAAAGTTTATTTTTTCAATTTATTTTGGAAAATGCAATATATGCCGTATCGGAAATTTTAAATATTTCACAAATAATTTAGATTTAGAGTTTTAGGCAATTACGCAAATTGAGCGTATTTTTACGCAATTTGTATACCTTAAATAAAAAGATACACATCTCCACAAATTCATGATATTTTTACTTAAAGCTGGGTTATAAAATATTTACTTTAGAAAAATTACTTTGAAATCTAGACTTACGCAAATTTGCATTATAATTGTGTAATTGGAGCCAAAATATTATGCGTTTACAATGCTTACGCAATTTGGATAGCTGGGTGAATTTAATGAATGTTAACTGCCTATTACCAGTACAAAGGTGATTAAAATCCCTCCTGAATCGGAAATTCAAATTCTTTCTGAATCTGTGATTAAAATCCTGTCTTTATTTGTTGCTCAAATTTGAATTGGCAGTAGGTAGTTAGCCAGGTAGCTTAAATTCATTAAATTTGCTCCCAGTGAAAGTAAATAAGGTTTTGATAATGAAATTGCTTTCTTAATAGCTATATTTGAACATGCATAAAATAAAAGTTGGAGAGTGTGAAACTCTATGTTTAAAGTGCAGATTTAACAGGAAATACCAAACAAAATTAAAGTGATGTAGGAATTAAATTCTATCAGCAAGTTTTCCACTCTAAATGATCTTTAGGCCTGCAGAGCTCCGGACAATGCTGTGAGGGTTGCAGTCGCTGATTTCTAAAGCTGGCAGCAACAAAGTTAGAAGTCCCTAAAATAAAATATTTAGAGTTCAAAATTTGATTTCTTAAAGCTTACTTACATAGAACTTTAGGGCACATTCTTGTAACAATGTCACTTAGATAAAAGTATAAACAAGGATTTATGTATTTGGCTTAAAATTTTTAAAACCAAACATTGCGAAGGTCGACATAACTGTTAACTTAAAGAAAAAAGTGCCAATCCACCATTTACCATTTTTCCTCTGTGTGGGCCAAGGTCTGTTATGTGGAGCTGGAAAGAGATTACAGGTATAAGAATCATGTATGCAAGCTTCATTTTGTACAGCAGGCCAAACAAACTAATCATCAGTCACAATAAATTAAGTTTTAAATTGACATATTGAAGTGAATCTTAGGTAATATTGATGCATTTTTTGTACTTTTTAATCAAATGATAAACTACTTTATAAACTGAAAAAAAGGTAAAAAGTAAATCAGATTATATGATTTAGATAGTTCCTTATGAAGTAAACTTTGGTCATATCCTTTCTGCCATCTGTCCGAGGTCTGCAATATATTTGTGTCTATTAGAGCTATATAAACTTCCAGAAAGCACAGAGATAGGGGGAAGGTAAGCCACACCCATATAGCTTCCTATCTACAATTTACTCACAAACTTAGCCTTGCAGGAACATGCTCACCCATAGCTCTTCCTAAGCCACACCCATATATCTTCCTGCAAAATGTATTTTATTACTTAAACTAGTTTATCATATTTTTTTTGGTAATATAAGTAAACATCCTAGCTCCTGGACCATAAGTTGTACAATTTTGATGGGAATAGTGTTCCAGTGTAAATCATGAGTTGGGGCGTTTGCTTAATGTAGCAATGATGAGGTTTATGATCTCATGACGATGCTACAAGGATAAAATATTTACCCCTGGTAAATGTTATAAATAGTTAGGCGGGAAATAAAGAGAAGAGTTGGTTGAACCGACGCCGAAATGAGGCCCAAAGAAAGCTCAGGTTAATTCACCTGGGATTACCAAGGAACTAGGGATTCCAGAGATGAAGGGAGCAGGTCAACTTGTAGAGATCCCAGAGATCAGTTGATGAACCTTCATTTTATGTGTATATGCAAGAAACGATCGGATTGTGAGTCGGAAACTCGAGGTTAACCATCATTTCTCCTCAACATTAGTATAGTATCAACCTCTTTCTATAATTTACTGTTCAATAAATTATTTTTACTGTATATCGTTTCATACTGGGATTGAATAAATTCAGATTAGTCCTTCAGACTGGAGAAAATATATCTCCCTATTTTGTATTCTTTCATATACAACATGGTGACAAGTTAAAACAATTGGAAGCCTTTATATTTATTTATTCATTCCGGGTATTTTGCGATATAGTTGTCTGGAAACTGCGGTTCCACCCTAACCGCAATGAAAAGACGACTATTACGGAGAGCTAGCACGTTACGCAGCATTGTAAAAAGGAAGCCAAGTTCACCTGTGTTTGGAAACAATTTGTGATAATCCATTGCATTGTGAACTCCTTTTTTAGTTATTCTAAGGTATAATAACATTTATTTAAGAACAACTAAATTAATAACAGCGTTCATTCATTTTTTCATCTAGCTCAAACATTTTCTCCGCTAATGACAGGACCAACGCTAGAATTTTTCGTCCAACATGGGGTTTAATTGTAGAATGTTAGGGACAGACATGAACAGAAAATATCGTTATTTGTTTATAAAACCCTAAAACTATATATTTTCAGGATGAACAATACCATCCAAGACTTGGTAGGGGTCCAACTTCTGCTTGCGACTGGATTGGTTTTCCAGCTGGTTGATAAAGTTTTTCAACCCTCCCAGGACCCTGTAGCTGTGAAAGTGGAAGAATTTGTTGAAGTAGTGGACCAGCTCCCAGATGTAGAAAATTCTTTCAAAAAACCCTGATGAATTTGTTCACTAACAAGACCAAAATCGAATGAGCACAAGTGGTAGACAAGGAGACAGTAACTCAGCTCATGAACAAGCAGAAACTTTATGCAGAGCCAAGCCTAACCCAGATGTCGTGGAATGAAATCTCAAAGAGCCAAGTAAAAATTATATCAACAACCATAGAAAATCTGCCAATACTGGATTTCTCCTCCCGTCCACTGAATCATTGGCGCTCATACTTAGAAAATGCCTATGATAGGCACTTCTTTAGTCATACATTGTCAAAAGTGGCTCTCGTCTTCAACTCCTGCTCCCAAACTTTCAAGCAAAGACTCCTTGTCCTAGACACAGGTACCCTTGTTAAGTGATTCCAGGGACTAGAATCACTTTATTGATTCCAGGGACCGGATCTCAGTTTCCAGTTCCAACCAAATCTACTACGCATGTGTTTAGAAAAAACTCAGAGCATCTTCCGGGCTTTATCAGTTTTGGTACAGCAGAAAGTACTAGAATCATTCTTAGATTGATATTTGTGCCGTAAGGATTCGTATAAGAACTTTGTCATATATTTCAAGTTTTTACGATTTAAGTTTATATTTTTACTAAAAGAAGTTTGTTATTGAGTACTAGGTTTTTTCAGACTCAAGGAATAAGGAGAAGGTTTGGAAGAACGGACTGATAAAAGTGGTGTCCTATCCTATATATGGTCGGAGACAAATTAAGGTATTTTTTAGATCAAATGTGAACATTTGGGGATAAAAAATTATGATTTTAGTATTGGTATAGTTTTTCTCGGAACCTGAATTAGTACAAGCAAGACGTGTTTTAGTTTTGACAGTATTAGAGTTTGAGGCGTCTTGCTGGTACTTTTAGATTATTGATGAAACCTTGTAAATATTCCTATACATATGATATATATCTCTAGTTTTGAATTGAGATTTGTGATGCTATGAGAGAAGAATAAATGATAAGAAGCACTGTTTCTGTTCTTATCTGTCATTAGCAACCTAGATTCTAAGACTCGTTTTTCAACGATGATTTCAAGGTAGAAAATCACTGGATTTGATTATGCCTTTTTGGGGCTTTTATTACGAAACATTCAAAACTTATTTTTCCTCGATACCAGGGGAGAATTTAATGGCGGGGATCAGTGAGGGAAACAGGGAAGGCTCCCGCAAAAGGTCTTGTTCTGAATCAGATTCAGATAAAAATAGTGGATTATCCTTCGGCCCCCAAGGATTTATACATAGAAACCCCAGTGGGGGGTACCCGACTCCAAATTAAGAGATTGGGTGGATTTAATGCAAAACATGATAGGGCCTTAAAAGAATGCAACATTCTGATTAATGAAATTGAGAACTGGATTGCTGATAATACTGAAAATGAATCCTTGTGTTTAGATACTATTTATGAAGGATTTTTAAAATTTAAAAAAAGGATAGCTAGAGTCTCACAGGAAGCCTTAATAAGATTAGTAGACAGAGGAGTAGTAGACCAACTAGCCGAATTACAAATTAGGATAGAATCTTTGAGAAAAAGAGCCGAGAAAGAAAATAGGAGGAAGGATCAACCGATTAGGAAATCAGATAACTTGACCGAGAGTACAGAATTAACTAGTTCTAATGATGAAGTCTTTTTGCATTCCAATCCCATCCAGGGTATACAATCCCTTTCTGGTGGTCCCAACTTTATGGACAACCATTCATCAGATCCCCCCCCTCTCACAGTTAATTCCCCCCCCCCCCTTTTGGAGGTCATTAGGACCCAACCTGAGAGTACGGAACTGATAGATTTGGAAAATCCAATAGATCTAGAAAATTCAGTGACTATTAGTCCTAATTCCCATCATGCCATCCCCCCCTCCTTCGAGGTACTACCATCCCCCCCCCGTCATTATCATCTGAAATCCAAATAGTAGTTAATAAGGAATGGGAATCCACGTTACTGAAAAATAAGGATGAGAATTTAAGACATATTAAGTTATTAGAAGATAAATATCAAGATGTAGCCTCTTTCCAAGTAAACCAAGAGAAACTTTTATCCACTTTAGAGCAGGAAATTATAGAACTAAACTCTTCTAGCTCTGATAGGGAACAGAGATTAGATCATAAGGAAAGAACAGTGGATCGAATAGACATGAATGTAAAGATATACATTTATAGGAAAGTTAAGGAGATTAATATGTCGATGGATTCTGTCAAATCAAGTTATGATAGTGAGACTGTCACGGGTCAAATTAAAGAGAATGTTAAGAAAATACTCAATAATTCTATACCCGGAGCAGATTTAAGACATTTAAGACAAGAATTAGAGTCCATCAAACACAAGAATGAGCAAGATGAGATTGTAATTGAGAACATAAGATGTGTAGTCACAGAAGTTAAGGATCAATTAGATAGAACTCTTGAATCTCCCCTCAACTTCTCCTTGAGAACTGAGATCCCCCCCAGAGTAAGTTTAGAAAAGAAAGAGAAAGAGCGCGACTTAACCAAGAATGCAATTGATAGTTCTGCCAAACTGTTGAATCAATTAATAGAAACCAAAATAACAGAATCTTATGATCTTGCCATCATCAAGAAATGTAAATCTGATGTGAAAAAAGTCACAGCTCAATCCAAAAACTGCCATGACCTATTAATGAAGTACATTTCTTATGATAAAATAGATTCAAATTATTATTCCCAGACAAAATTCTTATTAGATAGTCCAAATGATTGGATTATAAATGTGGAACAAATTTATTTCACATCTGAAGCTCATGCTTCTTGCTCTGTTAAGGGAGATCTTAGTGGGGTCGTAATCTTCTCTAATAATGCAAATAAGTCTATCTATGAATTCTTTGAAGATCTAGAGATTGCTTTAGTGGTTTGGGGTTCAAATAAGCAAAGAGCTATGCTTGTATTCTCCAGGCATCTAACTGAAAATATAAAAGCTAAATCCCTCAATATTTCTGATGATTACCAAAAACTTAAAGCATGGTTATTCAAGGAATATGGGTCTCCTCATACAATTGTTTCTGACATTATCTCAGGTTTGGCTTCAAAGCCAAAACCTGCTCAGGGTAGTGACAAACAAAGATACAAGTTCTATGCAGATATCACATTAGGAATAGCTAGACTTGACAGATTAGCAAGAGTACCATATGTAGACACAGATTAGTTAGATAATATTCTATATTCTTGCAACACTCTTTCATCCTTGTTTAAGATTCTCCTGGCCGAAGATTCAAAATCATTCAATCATCATATGGAGTTGAAGAGATTAGATTGGAAAAATCCCCAGGGGGCTAGAACATTTGCCTTTTTCAAAGAATTATGTGAAGCTCAACGCAATATTTTGGAACCTTACAAGGGATCCAATCCTAAGTCGAACTCCCCCCCATTACCCAAATCTAGAACGGTTTTCAATGTCAATCAAGGTCAACCCCCCCCCCCCCCCCCTTTCAGAGAGATTTGACTTCACACACTGCAGGATACTCTCCAGTTAAAAATTGGTTTGCTCCAGGTTCATCATACCCTTGCCCCCTGAAAGGACACGCTCATGAAATGTTTCAGTGTAAAGAATTCTTCAGCATGAATCCTCATGTTAGATGGAAGGCAACGCCCAAGGGTAGGATATGTTACTGTTGTCTGAAACCAAAATCCACTTGTAAGGATAGGAAGTGCTCATTTGAATCCTCAGTCCCAGAAGTCCTTATTTGTCAGGGTTGTCTTGAGTATGCTAGAGAGAAGGGATTATCTCCTTTTATTATCATGTACTGCAGAAAGATAAGACACGGTCTAATGAGAGCTCGGTACCAGGATATTAAGAATGCATTTGAGACCCATATGGGTAAGTTCCCTGAGAATCTCGAGGATGATTGTATCAGATATCCTGTTAATTTTACTCAACAAGTGTTCTCCTTTGATCCTTGTTCTGTTAAGGTTGAGTGTAGCTGTTGTGAAAAGCCTTCAGAGTTAAGCATTGAGACCCCTACTATTAGTACTCATTCTGGCATCAGTGTACCAACAAGGTTAGACAATACTGTTTCTGAGATTAAAGAGCACTCAGCTTATCTCATGCAAATCCTTAGAATTGGAACCGAAGATGTTTTGACCTTTTACGATAGTGGTGCAAACACTAATTTAGTAAATGGAGACTTAGCAATTAAGCAAAACCTTCAAATCATAACTAAGAAACCCACCAAACTCACTGTTGTTGGGGGGGGGGGTTGGGTTTCAATCACCACTGAGATGGGTAAGTTCAGATTCAATTTAGGACCAACGGAGTCAGGAATATACCATGAACTTAAATGTCAGGGTATATCTAATGTATCTTCAAAGTTTGAGAGATATGATTTATCAGAGATAAACGCGGAGTATAGATCAAATAAGAGTCATCCTTATAATGGGGAGCCACAACCAAAGTATGCAGCAGGGGATGAGGTTAACATTTTGATAGGTATCAAGAATATTCATCTTAATCCCACACTAATAACTATCCTACCTTCTGGAGTAGGGGTTTATAAGAGTCCTTTTGTAGACATCTTTGGATCTAGAGTAATTTACTTGGGTCCCCATTCTTCATTCTCTAGAGTAAACTCCAGTTTGAGTAAAGATTTATCTCATGCAATTTTTCATATGAGAGAAAAACCCATAATTATCAAGGACAGGTTGAGGATCTGTATCCTTTAATCCAAGTTGATAAAAGGTTTGATATATCTATTAATCCCACACCCATCTCAGAGAGCACATTGTTAGAAATGGGAGGAGAGATAGAGGAGGGGGGGGGGGGGATTTTATGCACGAACCAAAAGATAATTTAAAACCCTACACGAAGGGACCTGCAGCTCACTTTTGTGAAGTTCATAATGTATCCATTCCCATAGCTAGAATGAGAGAACCAGTCGGAGAAGTTGATTCTGACAATCTTGTTACATACAGATGTGATAGTTGTGCAAAATGAATTAAATGCATGAAATCCCCAAGACTCACTTCTATTTCTTTGCAAGAGTCCTTAGAGCAGTCCTACATTGAAAATAGTATTACATTAGATTATCATTCTAAAAAAGTAGTTGCCTTTTTACCATTTATTAAAGATCCTGTAGAATTTCTAAGTAAAAAACATGGATCAGATAGCAATTACAGGCAGGCAAAAAGAATATATTTAGCTCAGTGTAAGAAACCTAGTATAGAGAGAGAGGGAATGAAGAAAGCTCATAAAGAACTAGTAGAAAAAGGTTTTATGATAAAAATGCAGGATTTACCTAGTGAAACCCAAAACATGATCAAAACCTCTAAATTCCGGCATTTCTATCGGTGGTTCATAGTTGCAAAGGAATATTCTCTTAGCACTCCAGTTAGAATGGTAGTAGATCCATCTCAAACTCATTTGAATATCATTCTCCCCAAGGGAGAGAACAAACTAGGGAATATCTTGGATATAAGTATAAGAAATAGAGGAACAAGGTTTAGTAATTCTAGCGATGTAAGCAAATTATATAATCAAATACACCTTCATGAATCAGCTTTTCCATACTCATTATTCTTGTATCATGATACCTTGGATTCAGATGTACAACCTGATATATATATAATGGTAAGGGCTTGGTATGAGTGGTAAGTACTGAAACCAAGCAGGATACGCTCTGGATAGATTGGCTGAGGAAGGTAAGGATAAGTTCCCTGCAGCAATGAATTCTCTCACTAAAGAAAGGTATGTAGAGGACATTTTATCAGGAGAAGATACTGAGGAAGACAGAGATGAGCAAATATCAAAGGTCCAGGATCTCCTTTCAACAGCAGGTTTTAGTTTGAAATATGTGATACTGAGCGGAAGAAAACCAGATATTAAAGCTAGCTCTGACGGAGAGACTATTAACCTATTAGGATATAAATGGAACACAGAATTGGATATATTATATCCTGGAGTCTCAGAGCTAAGCTTGAACCGAAAGAAGAAAGGTATTAAAAAACCCAACCCTCACCCGGTAGTCACTCAGGAGGATGCTGATAAGTTTTTATCCCAGGTTAGTCTTTCTAGAAGGATGATTATTTCTAAAATAGCTGAAATTTTTGATCCTCTTGGACTATGGGAACCTATCAAACTAAAGCTAAGACTTAGCTAAACTCAATTCCATCGGATAAAACTTTGGACCCAGCAACACAAGTGAAATTGAAAAAACCTTATTAAAGTTCACCTCTTATGGTGAACTCTCTGCAAAAAGGTTTCCTTTGCCTGAAAATATAAATATCCAACAGCCCTTCAGGATGATCTGTCTCAGTGACGCAAGTAAACGAGCAGGAGGAGCAGCGATTTATATGAGTAAAAAATGTATTGATGGATCTTGGTCCACAGCTTTGCTCTGCTATAAATCTAAGTTAATGAAGGGTACAGTACTAAGAAATGAGTTATGTGCTATAGTATTAATGACAGAATTAGCATACATAGTCAAGAGATCATTAGGATCGAAAGTGGGAGAAGTAATTTACCTAACTGATTCAACAATAGCACTATCATGGATTCACAACACTAATATTAAGGTTAGGGCTTCTATTTTTTCTTGAGTTCAAGCAGCAAGAAGTATGATTGAATTAACCACTGGATCAAAAACGGTACCACTTTTTCATATAGATGGGAAACTAAACCTAGGAATGTTTTCTTGAGCCCTTTAGATTTGATCCAAATATTAGTGGTATTCACTCCATACACGTAGGACAAGAACCATTGAAGTTTAGGAAAGCTGAGGGTAGGAGTAATTTTAATTTACTTGTTGATCCAGTATCTTAGGGATGGTTGAGATCATTAAGGATCATGAGCTTCATTGTATCTTTCACACAATTCATCATTCACACAACCCATAACCAATCATCCCACATGTCCTGCAGGCTCTGCACATCGGGGAGGGAGTTTGATCATAGAGATTTTTGGGATATGGCTCAGGATGAATTTTTTAGAGCTGAATCTAAGGTTGTAGGATCATCATTGTCAAACAAGCAGTTGTCAAAATACAAATTTAGGAACGGAATTTATTACTTTATAGGAAGGATTACAAATGATAATTCATTCAAGCAAAAAGATTTAGACTCCGTCCCGTTTTTGTACACTCACACTTTAGCAGGTCATCTTCCTATTGTACTAATAAACTCCCCGATCTTATACTCTCTGGTGATGTACATACATTGCAAGAAAATACCCCACATAGGAGTTGAGAGAATGGTTAAAGAGGTCTTCAAGGAGGTCATGGTTCCAAAATGGACCCCCCCTGCCTATACTGGTTTTTAACTACCCCAGCATAACCCTAAACAGGCTGGGGGGTGGGGAGGGTACAAGGTTTTTCAAAGAGTCTGGTCTTTGAAAAAAAAATCTAAAATAGCCCTCAAATTTTAATAACTAAAGCTACAGATCAAAAATATCTATTTATGCAACTGTCTTGTATTTTTGGAGTTTAAAAACATAAATTTAAACCTTAAACAAACCAAAAAAGTACAGGGCGCAAAAAAGTCTATAGTCTGTACGAAAAAAAACCTAAAATGCCCATAGTTTTTTTTTTGACTAAAACTAGAGATTTAAAATTATATCTTTGAAAAGCCCTTGAGGAAAAAGAAGAATGTGCCACGTTTGATATTTGTTTTAAACAAAAAACAATATTTTTTTCATTTTTGGCATTTTTTCAACACTCCCTAGTACCTAAACTATAAAAGTTATTGATCTAAAAAAAGCTGAAAATTAGTCTATGAACATGCATTTCAACCCTTTACCTATTCTGTAAGGCTTTTTTCCAGAGGGGGGGGGGCTTGGGACGCCCCCCCAGGCCATACATAAATTCAGACCCCCAGCCTTTATAGGGTTAAAAGGGAGAGTTTGAGTTTATTTTCGATAACCAAATTCATGGAAATACAAGTTTAGGTTTTTTTTCAATTTAATTTAGAATTTTAAAAAAAATTGGAATTTACCTTTTCAAACAAAGTCTCAAAAAGATTCTTGTATCTTTCACGGTTGTCTAAATCCATCCTAGGGCAAAATTACACAGATTAAAAAAGATTTTTAGTAGATAAATATTGAAGTTTATTTATGATCTAAAGACATGCAAATTTCTGCTTTTTGTAAGAAATTCCATAGGAAACCCCTAAAAGGTCTGAGAACTACACGAAAAACTAGATACTAGAAATCAATGGATAGAATGGCATTTCAAAAGGTTTTATTTTAGGTTAAAATATAGACTTCCCTTCTCATCTCTTTAACGGAACACAGAATTGATGAATTCATGATTTTAAGTGGAAAAATATATATTTTTTAAGTGTGGGGGGGCATAAAGTATCAATAAGGGGGAAACCCAATGTTCCTATATTCCCAAATATCTAAAATTCCCCCCTAATTTGTAAAGCATAGACTACCATATAACTTTGTCTGAAATACATACCTTGCTCCCCACATTCCCCCAAGGATTGATCTACGATGATGAGGATGATCTCTCATAATGTGGAATGGTAGGCCTGAAGTTTTAACTTTAAGAAAATGTAGTTTCCTCATTGTAGATATGTTAATGATTGTATCTAGTTTTTTTATGTACAAAAACTGTAGATTTTCCATAATTTTTATGATTTTGATAACATATGTTACCCTCTGTTCCAACCCTTACATTAAGTATCCTCCCTTTCCCTTATACTCCCTCACCTCATCCTTACTTTTTTCCTGATTCATCATCATTCTTATGTTTAAATTGTACAAAGTACATTGTTTTTAATTGCAATTCTCATTCGTTTATAGTGGGCCAACCAATTAAAACAACCTACTGTGGTTAGGCGGGTCTAAACTATATAGTAAATTGTGATTTTTTTATTTGTATTATCTCGTGCTTTGTGGTTGAATAAAAATATGAATATGAATGAATAATGACCTAGATATTTATTGTGCATTCAGAGACTAAATTTAATGATTTTGAGCTAGGTTTCTAAAATAACTACAGTGGCTGAACTACCTACTGTGGCTGAACTACCTAATGTCGCTGAACTATCTACTATGGCTGAACTATCTACAGTGGCTGAACTACCTACTATGGCTGAACAAGCTACTATGGCTGAACTACCTACTGTGGCTGAACTACCTACTGTGGCTGAACTACCTACTGTGGCTGAACAAGCTACTGTGGCTGAACTACCTACAGTGACTGAACAGCCTACTGTGGCTGAACTACTTACTGTGGCTAAACTACCTACAGTGGCTGAACTACCTACAGTGGCTGGCTAAACAACATACTGTGGCTGAATTACCCACTGTGTCTGAACTACCACTGTGCCTGAAACACCTGCTGTGGCTGAACTACCTACTGTGGCTGAACTACCTACTGTGGCAGAACTACCTACAGTGGCTGAATTATTGTCTACTGTGGCTGAACTATTTACTGTGTTTGAACTTCATACAGTGGCTGAACTATGACTACCACCTGTATACAGGAGACGGAGAAATCCTGAATTACTGATTCAAGATACATGTTTGAACCATCTCTAGACCTTCTATAGATCAAATTCATTAAATTTGTCAAACCCCTAGGAATTTTTTTGCCTTGAGGTATAGTTTGGTAGATCTTAAGGATTGTAGAAACTCCAAGAATAACTAAATAATTCAGCTTTATAGTCGTTATCTTATAATCATTGCCGGTGCAAATGTAAAAATCCTCTCTGTTTGAATTGTTGCTTGTATATATTGGAAACTGATAAATTTCCAACAATTTAAATCCATCCATTAATAAATTTAGGTTTAAAACTTGGGAAATATTAAAAATTACCTAAACTTAGCCAATCATTAACAGCAGCAGTCTCCCTTGCAGAAAACCTTAAATCACAAACAAGTTTAATGTTTAACTATAATAATAAATTTTGAATCTTAAACCAGTGACTTTGATTCTTAGATTGAAAAACCCTTTTGCACAAAGAAAGAATTGCACATTGGTATCGGTATTTACTTTTTTTTTGATTTACATTTTTAGATTTTTTCTTCTAAAGAACAAGAACTCCATTACGAGGGATATTAGTTCCAAAACTAACACTTTTCTTTGATTTACATTTTTAGATTTTTTCTTTTAAAGAACAAGAACTCCATTACGAGGGATATTAGTTCCAAAACTAACACTTGGCCCATTTCTAACACTGAGTGTTAGAAATGGGCACAAATTTTTTGGGATCCCGGCCCATATCCAGAGTAAAAGTCGGTAAAAAAAAACTATAAGCGACATTTTATCTAACATGACAAGGACAATAATTCCCAATTCTAAACTCTTTTTTTTAAAATTAAAATTATAATAGGAGTTCTTTTAATATTAAATCTCTTGACCGTTTACAAGAAGATGTTAGGTTTTCCATTTTCGAACATATCCTGAATTTGAAACATTTTCGCGTTTTCGAGACAAAACCCACTTTCCCGTTTTTGAGTATAATCCACAATTTAAAAAAAACTCACTTTCATAACTTACAAAATAAATCACTGAAAACAAAAATTATCTTATGAAGACTAAATTAACTTCTGAATTGTTTCTAGAATTTAAGTTTCCACATTTTATCTGTTGAATTAGAGAATATGGATGATTTATTTTCAAGCATTTTAAACGAACAGTTTCCCACATTTCTAGTTAAAAGAACATATAAAATTGTAATATTTTAATTTCAAAATGCTGTAATGATTTTTAAATTATAAAAGAACAGTGTTTATATTTTCTATTTTGTTTATATTTTTCCTTATAAAAAAATCTTGCTTTGTTTCATAAGAGCGTAAATACTTGAAAATTGACATTGATATGAATTCCGGTAATTGTCTCTCAACCCATTAGAGGCTCTATATGAGACCATTGAAGATTTAATAAATTTAATTGATGTTAATATTAACATACAAATGTTAATGTTAATTGATATTAACATATTGATAAACATCAATTGTTTAAAGTTAATGTTAATGTTAATATTAAGGTTAATTTTAATGTTAATGTTAATGTTAATGTTAATGTTAATGTTAATGTTAACTTACTCACAAGCATAATCTTTAATGAATTGTTTAAAGTCAATTTTAATGTTAATGTTAATGTAAATGTTAATGTTAACTTTATATGCTGACAACCGTAAACTTTAATGAATTGTTTATAGTCAATGTTAATGTTAATGTTAATGTTAATGTTAATGATAACTTACTGACAAACATAAACTTTAATGAATTGTTTAAAGTCAATGTTACTGTTAAAATTTTATATTGACAACCATAAGTTTTAATAAATTGTTTATGGTCAATGTTAATGTTAATGTTAATGTTAACATTATATAATGACAAGCATAAACTTTAAAGAATCGTTTAAAGTCAATATCAATATTGATGTTAATGTTAATGTTAACTTTATGTACTGACAACACAAACTTTATTGAATTGTTTAAAGTCAATGCGAGTTACGTAGCCAACAATTCTCTGTCAAAAGCTGAGTATTTAGATTGTGTTGAATCCAACTGTTTTGAATAGAAAGAAAGAGGACTCCAACCTCCATTCTGATATTGCTGTAGTACTGCTCCAACATGTATATTCTTTATTGCAAACTGTGATTTGGCTTGTGCGAACCAAACTTTAGCTCCATCAGCCCAAAACTGTGGTAGTTTAAGAGCTACTGATTGAATATTCTCCAACTGAACCTCAGCCATTGTTCTTCTTCAGGGGTCACCACTATGAGAGTAAGATCAATTCTAGGATATAGTTTATTTGATATTTATTTAATCAACAAATATTATTAACCAGGATAGATCTGCACGAGTTGAAAGATGTAGACTGACTGGTTCCTAGATTCTTGTTTTCTTGTAAGGATATTTTCTTCTTCATCTTCGAGCATTTCTTGGATTTATCCTCTCAGATTCCTGCTTCTACAAGAGTTGATTTACTACCTAATGCCCGTCCTGTAAATCAAAGAATGAGACCGATTCCTCCATCTCATCCAGATAATTTACACAAGCAACTTGATTTATGGCTGAAAAATGAAAACATAGAACCCAGCTCGTCCCCCTGGTCTTCACCCTTGGTCCCCGTGACCAAGAAGACTGGGGAGACGAGGTGGGTTTTGGATTTTCGCCGGGTCAATGACCTCTCTATGACCGACAGCTTCCCCACCCCTAATATTTCTGAGATTTTGAATTCTTTAGGAAAATCTAGGTACACTGGATGCCGAGAGTGCTTGTGCACACAGCAGATTTAAATTCTCATGTTAATTTATTAGATTTGGTTTTCAGCGCTCAAAAAGAGGCCGGAATAAGATTGAATGCTAGAAAAACACATTTATTTCAGGAGAAAGTTGAATATCTCGGTCATCTTGTCAGCGCTGAAGGAATAAAATTAATACCATCTTATGTTCAGAAAATTACAGACTTGCCACTGCCTCAAACTGGAAAAGAATTATCTGCATTATTAGGTTTCACTAATTATTACCATGATTTCTTACCAGGTTTTGCAAATGTTACGGCTGAACTGAACAGTGTTAAAAATTCTAGGTTGATTGTATGGACACTGGAGATGATATCTAATTTTAATACTTTAAAGCAGATGTTCACAGCAGCCCTGTGCAGAGCCACACCAGATTTTTCTCCAATCACTAAACCTTTTATTTTAACCATAGATTTCTCTAAAACTGCAGTTGGTGCAGTTTTATCTCAAGAATAGGATAATATAGAAAGGTTTCTAGGCCTTAAAGGGAGAAAATGTAGAAATTACAAAAGTAATTTTCACAGTTCTAAATGAGAACTTCTTGCTCTTGTATATGGCATTACTAAATTCAAGAATTTGTTGAGGTTGTATCAGTTCATTGTTGTGACGGACTCCACCACTGTCCTTCATTGGTCGACCATGAAGGACTCCAGGGGGACTATCAGGGGATGGATAGATTTTATGCAACAATTCAACTTTAGAGTAATGCATAGAGCAGGTAAACCGAATATTAATGCCGATTTGATCTCAAGAGCAACACACATGGATTACCCCCCACCCCTCTGACGCAGACTGTATTACACAAGGTACCGGGAAATATACCCCTTGCCCTAGAAACAATTGAACATTGGCGAAAAGCCGAATTTGATTGAAATACAGCAGTCAGACTGGTCAAAAATTAATAATTGCTCGGAATATTTACCCCCCTCAAACAAAGGTAAGATATGTTCCAAAGTTCAACTTCATATATCACCCACTTATTATCCACATATCATCCACATATTATCCACATATCACCCACATATCATCCAGATATCACCAATCCAATCCAGTATCCTTCTTCACCCCATCATCATTCCTCCATCGATAATAATCTAAATTAACACTCTTACATTCATACAGCATACATATTTAACAATTACATAATCAATATATGTTATATTGTATTAACTTACCATTAAATCTGTTACATGACTGTCTAAGTGGAACTTCTATTTATCAAAAAATCAAGAATTTACTGACATTGAATCTAATGAAAACATTGATTTACTCCAAAATGATAGAAATTTTGAAACATTGTATTTACCAAAATAGTTGCATAAAATTTCTTACATCTCATTTCTTTTGAAAAATCATCAAATATTATTAAATTCTCACTTAAAAATGCACTTTTGTGCAGTTGAGGTTTTGTGAATATATTGCCACAGAAATTGGGATTAAAAAAGTCTAGGTTAAGTATAGTAAAACTCAACTTTTGCTTTTCAGAAGTGGAGTTTTAATGGAGTTTAAAAGTGGAGTTTTCACCAGCTATAGTCCTGCCATACAAGGATTAAAACTCTACTTTTCACCAAGATGATATCTGGATGATTTCTGGATGATATCTGGATGATTTCTGGATGATTTCTGGATGATGTTTGGGTAATATCTGGATGATGAGAAGTGGAGTTTTAATCGAGTTCAAAAATGGAGATTTCACCAGCAATATAAGGGTTAAAACTCGACTTTTCACCAAGTTGGGGGGTTGTAAAATATGATATTTGGACAATATGTGGGTGATATCTGGATGATATGTGGATGATATTGTGGATGATATGTGGGTGATATCTGGATAATATCTGGATGAAATGTGGATGATATGTGGATGATATCTGGATGATATGTGGATGATATGTGGGTGATATCTGGATCATATGTGGGTGATATCTGGATGATATCTGGATGATATCTGGATGATATTTGGATGATATGTGGGTGATATCTGGATGATATCTAGAAGATATCTAGATGATATCACCCACATATCATCCAGATATCAGCCACATATCACCCACATATCATCCAGAGATATCACCAATCCAATCCAGTATTCTTCTTCACCCCATCATCATTCCTGCATCTCTAATAGTCTAAATTAACACTCAAACATACATACAGCAACAATCACATATTTAATATATGATATACTGTATTAACTTACCAATAAACCTGTTACAAGGCTGTCTAAGTGAAACTTCTATTTATCAAAACATTAAGAATTTACTGACATTGATTCTAATGAAAACATCGATTTACTCCAAAATGACAAAAATTTTGAAACATTGTATTTACCAAAAATCATCAAATATTATTAAAGTCTCACTTAAAAATGCATTTTTGTGAAGTTGAGGTTTTGAGAATATATTGACACAGAAATTGGAATTCAAAAAGTCGAGTTTAAGTCGAGTTTATGCTCCCATATTTCACCCAGTTGATGACTGGGAAAATATTGGATTCAAAAAGTCGAGTTTAAGTGGAGTTTATGCACCCAGATGATAAGTGGATTTCAACAGTAGAGTTTAAGTTGATTTAAAGTGGAGTTTTTAAGCTGATATTTGAACTTCCAGTTTTCA